TTGTATTTACGTGCCAGAGATGGTTGTGATCTGCTTCTGCTAATCTAAACGACAGCAGAATATCAGAATTGAAGGTACGTGTGGGGAACAAAACCTTGCAGACGACTAAACCAAGACTTCTGCTGTAGTAAAACTCTGCCAGTTAATGCACATCACTAAGAATTTTATTATATTTAGTGATATTGTAGATGAGAATTATAACAAAGGCTTTCTTTTCCCTTTCCAGTCAAGATACAGATTTACCTGGAGCACCAGAAAATTTGACGTTCAGGGAACGCCAGCGACTTTTTTCACAGGGTCAAGATGTATCCAATAAAGTAAAAGCCTCTAGGAAACTAATGGAACTGGAAAATGAGTTGAACACAAAATAAGATTAAAGCACCTTATCAGATGTAACTGAAGATCTCTGAATTGAGGGATTGAGATGAGGGGCACTACTAATGAACAGAAAATGAATATTTTCCAAAATGAGTGACTTTGATTCCTCTATATCTAAGACTGTTAATTAAGATTTAGAGATGTTGCAATAGCAAGAAAACTGATTACTTTGCCAGGAGCTTGTGGTTTATACAAGGAAAGCACTGTAAAATTTTAGAGATGAATCACGTGAAGGTAACTCTTTTCTTTCTGTTTTGGGGGTTAAGTTCTTGTGCACCAGACCAAGTAGCACTTGTCAAAGATAAGTTCTGTTTCCTGGTGTTTCACAGACACGCTTTTTTTTTTTTTTTTTTTTTTTTTTTTCTTTAGCTGCTGAGCAGAGAGAGTGAGAATAGCTTGAACTGCCTAAACTAAACTGTGCACTAGAAATTAGTACTTTAGGTTGTTTAGGTAAGAAGATGATATCTGGGCCACTATCTTAAGTAGACTCTATATGCAAGTTTGCCGTACTCTGTAGTGTTCATACAATGATCAACCTATCAATACCATGATTTAGCATTGGGATAACTCCCATTCTGTAGGTAAAACCTGGGATAAAACATTTCTATTCCTGCATATTTGTTGGGTCTAAAAGTGGAATTTATCTGTAATGATGGAAAAGTCTGTGTTGATGCACCCCTGTTATTTGTGCATCAGGCTTTCAGAAATGTGAAGGTGAAAAGCCTAGGGCTATTTGTTTCATTAAAAATTACATAAGCAATAGATAGGAGGCTAAGCTAGTTGTTGTTCATCAGCTAGGACCAAAATGTTTGTCATGTGTTAAAGACAAGGATTTCCATTTCCAAAGTTAGTAGAAAAGATAGGTAAGTTTTCCTGGAACAGTAGATGAGAAGTTACTAGGCAAATAGACATGGAATGGTATTGATAAGTCTGCTATTAGCAGTTCAGCAATATCTTTGTTTTGGGGTTGTTTCTTTTGTTGTTGTTGTTGTCCTGTTTTGTTGTTGTTTTTTCCTATGGAGAAGTGAACTGGCATATTCAAGTGTGGTGTGAAGCATTGAATACACTACTGCTGGCTGGGAGTGGGAATGTTAGTAAGACCTGGTCTGCTGGCAGCAATCCATTTCTACTCATGCTGAAGAAGCAGTGCTAGTAAGCTCTTCTTTAGTCTAGCTAGCTTTACTAACATTCTATCACTGTTGTACTGAAAATATTTTTGGCAGTTCAAGCTATTTTTTCACACTGTAATAGCCTTATTTAATTTTAAATTGTTAATCTTCTTCCTCCCACCGTTTCCTCAGCTACGCTTATGTAGCTGATGATGCTGGGAATAAGGACCTCATCAGAGTTTTTTTCATTGTGTGATGTTAAGACAATATATATTGTGATTCCAAACAAATTTTCTATTTGACAAAGCCCTTTACTGGCTTTAGATGATTTTTTCCTGTATCATATTGTTCTCTTATAAATATATATTTAGGGAATTGTGCACACTTCCAAATACAAAGGGGTAGACTTTCACTGCCTTAGGAAAGAAATCACTTTTAATAAGAGTTGTATGATAAATAAATGCAAGTTGATGAAAATTGGAGTGTAAATATTTTTTACGTACTTCAGGTTTCTTATTTGAAAGTGTGCTTTTACCGTTTCACCTGTTAAATATGAAGTAGAAGATTAAACTGGTTCAAAGTGTTAATGAAGGATCTGCATGCTTGCTATGTCTGTTAATCAGGAAAAGCAAGCCTCTCCCAACTTATCTTGAGAACACTAGCAGCCTTACAGTGACACATTTTTCTTAAGGAAAAAAACTTGTGCTGTGGCTGAATTACTGTTGCTGCTAGAATCTGAAAAAGGCTTAGCAAAAAAAAAAATATATCTATAACCTTCAGTTGAGTGGATTTGGCCGCTATTGGGCATTCGGGTCAAGTGTGAATATGTGTAAAAGTGCTTTTCATATTTGTCTGTGCATTATTATGAAAAACATCAAAACTGCTGTAGTTTCCCATTTCTACTGTATTTCACTTGCAACCTATTTTTAATAAAGTTTGTATTGTATTTAACTTTGCATTAAATGGTTTTTTGTACTCTTTGTTATTGACTCTACGTTCACAGCAGTGTTACCATAAACACAAGTGGCTATTTTTAATGTTTCCCTTACCTTTTAAAATAGAAGCCAAGTCAGTGCATCTCATAATGATGGGAACCTGAAATGAATTTCATGTAGAGAACCAACCAAAGAGGCTCATCCTCGCGGATCAGCGGGGAGAATTTAATGTTCAGTACCTGAACAAGTGATTTTTACAGCTTATCCAGCCACTATAGAATAGTAAGTATTGGTGGGATCAAATATGCAGGCTAGCCCATGGATTCTGGTGAATATACTGTATTTGTATTCTCCTCCAGTGCAAAGTTTCTGAGAATGAAAAGGAGCCTGTAATACAGCTTCTTTTTGAAAAAGGTGATTGTGAGTAATACTGGAACCAGAGACTCCATTGTGATTGCCGTGGTTAAGAAGGCATTTGAATGATGTTACTCCTGTCGCTGCATTAATAACACCACATGACTTGCTTCTTGAAAAGAAACAACAGTTGAAGTTCTGTTTGAGGAGAGCAGAGGTGGGAATTTTGTCACAGTGAAGTGCTATAGATTCCAGCTGCTGTAGCTGAGCTGCTGCAGATGGGGTCGAGAACCGTGTGCACCTCTTTCCAGGTGAGTACCTTCATCACACACAGAGGGTGGTGATGCACTGGAACAGGTTGCACGAGGAGGTTGTGGATGCCCCATCCCTGGAGGCATTCAAGGCCAGGCTGGATGTGGCTCTGGGCAGCCTGGTCTAATGGTTGGTAACCCTGCACATAGCAGGGGGTTGAAACTAGATGATCATTGTGGTCCTTTTCAACCCAGGCCATTCTATGACTCTATGATCTCTCCAGTTGCGAGGTCTACTCTCCAGAATTTTCAAAATCACTAATGAGGACGTTCTGAATTTTAGAAGACTGCAGGGCCTCAAGGTGGCTGAGTGGGACCTTGTGTCAGTGCTTTTGAGTCTGTGGACTGTGACCATAAAAATAAAGGTAAAGGAAAAAAAGGCGTTTGCTTTAGGGGGTATGAATGATCATCCTTAGCAATTTTGGGTAAAGGATACATGCATATGCAGCCAGGTCTGCTACCTCCAAAAAGACTCTAATTATCCTAAATTTCTTCCACATTCTCCCTTTTGCACCTATCATTCTCATATCACACTTCTCAACTGCTTTTACATGGCGCTTATGCTATAGCCTTGATAGTAGCTGAGAAAAGGGGAGGGGAACTAAGAAACTGAGAAAGTCCGTAAGATAGATCCTGTTTACTGAAATAATATTTTCTCAATCGTAACGATTGTTTGGAGATCAAGCAGTGAGTTCAGCAGCAGAATAAATAAATGAGACCTTTCCCCTTTACCTCCCAATTCAAAAAGTTAATTGAGTTATGAGAAATTACAACAAAAACAGCAATAGCAATAACCTTTGCTAAGAACGGTCTGAAAAAAAAAAACCAAAAAAACACAGTAGCCCACAAGAGTTTGCTAATGAGAACAGGAACACGTTTGGCTCTTCCTCCTGTTGTGTCAGATAGTTCTGTCGCAGTCACCTGGGGGCTCTGTGGCTGAGGAGGCAAAGCCTCACAGCTTAAGCAGTCTGTCGATTTATTTCCTAGCTGCAATGGCAGCTAAACTGCTTAGGAAGACCAGCAGCGTGCAATTACCCTGCTTGGACAATGCCCGTGTATTTTTAGTAGCAAATGATTGCCCTACAGTTATTGATGCAAATGTCTTATTTAAGTTGAGTGATTAAATATTTATAGCTTCGCTGAATATCATGTTTGAATGGATGGGTTAATTTCACTCGTGTTTTGATTGTAAACATATTAATGTGTGAGGAATGTTAAATCCTCTAAAGGTATACTTTTTGCTGTGGCTGTGTACCAGAGCTGCTTCTTTCAGAACAAAGCAAGCTCATTCTCTTGCAAAAATCTCTTCTGTAGACAGACAGCATCAGTGGCTTTCCCTCTCATGAGGTCAGGTATCTTAATGCTTACTCCACACTCCCTCCTCCCTCTGTATAGTTGCAGGAGCTCTAAGCTGCATGTTGCTTGTAATTATCTTCCAGTAGGCAAGATGATGCCAGAGAAGATTCAGGCTAGATGTTAGGAGAGTGGTCAGGCTGGAATGGGCTGCCCAGGGAGGTGGTGGAGTCACCAACCCTCGAGGTGTTCAAGGGATATTTGGATGTTGTGTTGAGGGATGTGGTTTAGTGAGAACTATTGGTGATACATGGAAAGTTGAGCTGAATGGTCTTGTAAGTCTTTTCCAACCTTCGTGATTCTATGATAGCAGAGGGAGACCCTATGTACTATTCTTCTACAGCAGATAACATTAGCAGGCATGGTAAACATCAAAGCTCAGGGAAAATCTGTTCAGGCCGTCACTGTGAGTTCTCTTCACCCTACGGCTGCAAATGTATTGGCTTGGGACTATGAAAGGCATTTAAATAAAATTAGGTTGAGAAATGAAGTGGATAACGTTTTAGGGAGCTTAAAAGACCACATGCAAAACATCAATCTTAAATTTCTGTCTGCTTGACATGACGAAGTTGCTGTCACCTGGGGAGCAGAAAATCGGAAGGCATGCAGCAGTGAGCCTCTTGGTGTTTGGCACAATGGACATTCCTATCAGAATACTGAAGCCGGGACCTCAGTCTTTTGTTTTCACTCCGAGGGTCAGCATGAAATGCATCAGCAGTAGTTGACACAACATTTACATTTAGTAACATTTAGTACCTCAAGCTTTCATAATTCACCATCGTGTTTCACTGATGTTAATGGAGTAAAATGTGCAGTACATTTAGTCATTGTCATGAAACTTCCAGCCTTCTTGTTTCCCTGGAATTATCTGTAACAAGGTCAGATTCTTCTTTTGCAGACAGGAGGCAGACAGGATCAGGTTGGTAGATGGGGAAAAAAGGAGATTCTTCAGAGCAGAGGATCCCATTAGAAAAGCGTGCTGGAATACAGCCTTGCAGCATTTCCAGAAGACAGATTTTTGGTTCGTTGCCTAGACCTCACTGATACTACATATAAAAATCGGAGCTCAGTGTCAAGAACTGTGAGCTACACCCCTGAGTTACTAAAATACTTCCCCAGACTGGCTGACGGTGATAAAATCCTGACTCAGTGCCAACATCCTTTAAGGTCAGCAGGAGCACAGTGCTTTGCAACTTTTTTTTTTTTTTTTTTTTTGCCTGACTCCATTCACTAGTTTTCATTATCCCATCAATACAGAGCGGGGATGAACGGCTGAGAGGCTTCCAGCCAGCATGATTCTGTGCTGTTTCTTTAAGAAATAAAAATAAAAGCTGTGGTTGCAGGGGGTCGGTGATGTGGAAGGAGGCTGCAGTACCATAGGAGCCAGTGGGCTGAGGAGGCTGCGCAGAGATGTTTGGTGTGGTCCGAGCCAGACGACGGGCAGCAGCACAAGTTGGATTCCTCTGTAATTACTCTGTAAGTACGGCTGGGCACTAAACAGCGGAACGAACAGCCGAGAGGAGGAAGCCGCCTCGGGCAGCCTCTTCATCCTCCTCGCCGAGCCCAGCAGCATCGCACACCCGAGTATACGACCCGAGTATGCGACCTCCCACACCCTGCCCTTCTCCCGGCCTCGCAGCCGCCGTACGAGTGCCGACCCCGACCCCCGTCAGCCCCAACCGGAGGCGGCCGCTATCACGGTCGCCGCCCAGGCTGTCGGGAGGCGGTGCCGTCAGAACGGCAGCCCCGCCGGGGCCGCGCCCTCCTTCCCAGCCGGCCCTCGTAAGCCCTCGGGGATTTAACCCCCGGGGCGGCGCCGCGCGGGGAGCCAAGCTCCGATCCGAGCGGCGCGATGCGGCCGCGGGGAGGGTTCGGCCCCGGCCCGGTGTGGGCGCAGCGCGTTCGGCAGCTGGAGCAGAGAGCGCGAGTGAGCCCGGCACGGGGCGAGGCGGGGGGACGGGCAGAGGGCGGGGCCGGAGGGAGGGCAGGGCGGCCAGCGGGGCTGCCCGTGGCTGACGGCCGCAGAGCCCCGATCTGCCGCCGTCTGTTAAAAGTGGGGTCTGAGGCTTGACGGTGAGAATCCTCAAGGCGGCGGGTGCTGTCGCGATACGGCTCCTAAATGTTGTTCCTACCTGTTGAACCCGATCTCTTTTATGACCCAGCTGATAGACGAGTTGATGAAATCCTTTTGGATTTCAGCAAAGCTTTTGGCATTAGTTCGAAGCAAAGCTGGATCAGACCCTGGGCAACCCGGTGTGGCTGTGGTGTCCTTGTTCACTGTAGTTGGACCGAAGGACTTCAGAGATCCCTTCCAACTCTAAGGGCTCTATGATTCCATTTCTCACAGCATCTTCTGAACAAGATGCCCGGCACAGAGCTGGACAAAAATGCAGTGTGATGAGTGAGCCCTTGGCTGATGAGTCAAGCACAAAGGGTGACACCGATGAGGTGATGTCAGGCTGGTGCCCAGTTACTGCTGGGGTGCCATAGGGCTCCATTTTGGGGACAGCTCCCTTACCAGCACGGGCTGAGAGCTGGGAGTGGGCAGCCGTGCACAGAGAAGGGTGCTGGGAGATGTGAGAGTGACCTATCAGTATTTAAAGGGAGGCTGTAAGAAAGAAGGAGATAGAGTCTTTAGTAGGGTCTGCTGTGTCAGAACAAGGGGAAATGGTTTCAAATGGAAGGATTCAGATTGGAAGCTGGTAGTCCTTTGATTTCAGGAGACCGAGAAACAATGGTGCGCAGCAATGAAAAGTGTTAATGAAGCGATGTTCATCAGCCTCATGTCATTTTTACTTCCGTGGGTTTGCATGTGGTTTTATTGTTTTCTTTTTTCTTAGGCCCAAGAAGAAAGAATAATTGCCCTGGAAACTGAAAATGCTGCCCTTCATCTAAAACTTGCAGCGGTAAATATTGTTTGCTTTTCCAATTAGGACTATTCATAGACTGCAGGAACCACGTTAAGTTGTGCGTAGACAAAGATGCTCAGTTATATGTCTTAATAGCACAAGTACAAAGCTTATCCAGAAAAGGCAGCACTGTGCCAGAAATCAGCTACAGAGCGCACAGCAATGATGGATGCCCTCATTTCCTTATATCCTTTTTCAGAGGGGTATGGTGCTTCTAGAGCATTATTGAAACAAGCAGCAGGCTGCGATAACATTTGGTGTCTTCAAAGGTAAGGCTTCAAAGGTTTAGAGAACTGTGATGTTTATCCATGTCTCTAGACCAGAGCCAGCTGTGAGAACTGGTTGCAATACAGAGTCTGCTGGCCAAGAGTTTCTAATCTGCTCTGCAGTGTTAAATGGTTGGGTGACCTCAGAAAAGCCACTTGCCCTCTCTTAGGGTCTGTTAATACCTGTGGATAAAAGTGGGTTTAACATTTTCCAAAGCCTGATTGGAAGCCAGATGGTACATCTGAAGCGAGTTTTGTCAGGTATGCCGGAGAATGCTGTAATTATTCTGAAGAAAATGTTTGTTGTTTTTTTCTGTTTCATCATATTAACCAAAAATCTTAAATATTTCAGCTTCTTTTTTTTTTTTTCTCACTCTCTCAAACACAAGGAAGAAATTATTCCAGCCACTACAGTGTATCAGATGTAAGACATAGTTATCTGAGTTATTATTAGATAGTAAAAGCTTGTTTTCCGTGGATTTGGGGATTGTGGTTACTTATTTTTTAACTGTGTTGTCAAGAGCCCCTGTTATACACAAGGAAATATGTTCAAAGTACCTCCTGACAGAGAGGGGAAAGGTTTTGTGTAGGTATCGCAATGCATCTGGGATGGACCATCTGGCCTACGAACAAGCTTTGAAAATCATTTAATCCACTTTACCCTTAAGAGTTTTCTATTGGCTGCCTATTATCACAGCATCTGCAACTCTAGTTTGTGCCACCTCTCCCTTTGCTACCTGCACCCCCATAGCCACCCTCTGCACCCACTGAATTGATCCTATGTCTCTCAGTAGTTCGTATGTTCCCCGCCTCAGTACCACTCACCTCTGTCACTTCCCTTTGCTCTGCCAGGCCAGAAGCAGTGGATGCTGCCTCTCACTAGGTCTGGAGCCACGTGTTTTGGTTGCCTGGTGAACCAGTTCCACTTACCTGCCAGCTGGTGAAACACGTGGCTTTGGGGGGACATGTTTCATGGGGACGTGTTTCAGTAATGCAGCATTTTGAGACCTCTGTTTATTCTGATGAATGCAAAAACTGTTTTATTGGAGAAAACCTCAAACCCAGGGCAGTATTTGCAATAAAGTAGTGGACGTGATGAGAAATTGACTTCCATGAAGGAAGAGCTGACTATTTGCATCCTTCATCTTGAGAAAAAAACGAGGGCTAGGGGCACTTATGCAGATGGTAGAGAATGCATTAGATGTTAAAAAAATATATTTGGTTTTAGCTAGCTTGAACTTGTATAACAAGGCTTCAGTACTTCAGCTGCTTATATACATGCTTAACTTTTCACATGTGATTGGAGCTATTAATTCTGGTGCACTTCTGTGCATTTCTGTCAAGCATGTTTATAAATACAAATGTTGTCATGAAAATTCCCAGGGTAAAACACACAAATGCCCGTACAGGAGCTGTCTCAATTACTAAAGCTTCTAATAAAAGAGTTATTTTAAAATAATCTCCTCCTGCTATTCATTTTCCATGTAAGCACTTTATATATTAGCACTGAGGTGTTTTATAGCTATGCAGGACCTCTGGTTCCATCTGTAAATAAAAAGACCATGAAAACTTTGTTTAGACAGGTGAAAAAGTTCTCTTGGACAATATATATTGTCTTTATTCTGACATCTCCCGAATATCATACTGTTGTTTTTGAAGATGTCATCTGTAATTAACTGCAATTAAGTCCATTTAGTTTTTGCCTATTGTTATCAGAGGATTGGAATTAAGCTCCATTACGTGAGGAGTGAATGCCATTGTATTTTCCTATCTTCTGTTAATTGAAATAACAGAGAACTGCAGCCACCAAATTTCTGATCTGAATAAACTAGGAAATAATTACGTGCTAGAGACAGCTGCATTCCCAAAATAAGGGGAGAGGCTATAAGTACTGGTTAAAGAATGGTGGATGTCAATATGCTGCTGGGAAGAGCAGGTGAAGAAATTACAGCTAACTTAAGTACCAGAATTGTCAGTAAATGACAGACGTGCAGCTTCTAACATTTTCTAACATAAATTCTGTCAAATTGCAGGATTTCACAAGTGCTCTGTGTAGATTTAATTCCTGTGTTCTTGTCTGTAAGTCCTTAAAGTTACACTATTCCTATTCTTATTCTTCTTTTGACTTCAACATCTCAAAAAGTTTGCCTGTAACGTTACTAGAAAGCATTCTTCTCCACATCCCTTAGAAAATTGCTTTTCTTGCTTTGATCTCTGAAGACCCAGCTTAGTGCTTGACTGGTACAATTTTGCACTGTTGCAACTTCACTGAGTGCAGTGGAGTCAATATTGGCAGAAAGCTAAAGCAATGAACATAACGTTGTGGGCTGTATAACCACTCCTTCAGCACTTCAGCCATTACTGGTGTGTAATGGCTCTTGTTCTGCTTTTAAGAGAGCTTTCCAATTAAATATAGTCACCAGAAGATGCTGATCTGATGCCAGCTGTGTAACTGGCCCTGTGCGAAGGCACAGTTCTAACTTAGATCCACCTCAAGCACAACTATGGGGCTATAGGCACTGCAGGCACGTTTTAATGTTCTGATGTTGAGGTTTGCAACCCAAAGGAAGTAGAATAGTGGTGTTAGTCAACTTAACTTAACTAGAAAAAATCCTTCCACGTGACTTGGAAAAATAAGAAAAGCAAAGAAACTGTATGTTTGCAACATCACATGTAGCCAGTTGATCCACTTCCAGAGATGTTTACGTAGGAGATAAAATGTATCAAAAATCAGGAACAATTTGAAGTGGTTTTGAGTTGATCTTTTCTTTTTTCAAACAGTACCAAGGGTGGGCTGGAAGAAGTGTTGATGAGATATTACAGCTCTACTCCGCTCATGGCCAGCAGCAGAAATTGCAGAGTTCTGTTGCAACTCACCTACATGAAGCAATAAAGGTAAAGATATCTAGTAGTAATGTTGGCATAACCTATGACATAGACATATGCATGCTTATGAAATACAGTAAAACCCAGAAATGGTCAGATTTGAACCTGATCTATATCTTTACTTTATTTACAGCAGTACTTGCAGCAAAGTGTAGCCATGTCTGCGTTAGTTTAAAACTGCTTCACAAGGGTAGATAACGGCAGAACAAGGAGAAATGGTTTTAAGTGGAAGGAGGGAAGATTTAGGTTGGACATCAGAGGGAAGTTCTTCACAGTGAGAGTGGTGAGGTGCTGGAACAGGCTGCCCAGAGAGGCTGTGGATGCCCCGTCCCTGGAGGTGTTCAAGGCCAGGTTGGATGGGGCCCTGAGCAGCCTGGTGTAGTATTAAATGTGGAGGTTGGTGGCCCTGCTTGTGGCAGGGGGGTTGGAGCTTGGTGATCCTTGAGGTCCCTTCCAACCCTGGCCATTCTATGATTCTGTGATTCTAAAACCTGTAGTGGTTTTGCTGCAATAGGCTGCAAAAGTTACCTGGGAAGCTGGGCAAGTGGCTGCACCTGAACTCCAGTATCTCCTGCATAGGCTGCTATCAGTGCCTGGAATAGGTATGTTTGTAGACAAAACCTTGAGTCCTTGACAGGACAAGGTAGATGTCTACCAGGTAGACATCTCCTAAGACACAATACTTGTTAGATACTTTAACTAGATAGCCACATGTTAACAAGATCACTGGTGAGCTCCGTTGATCTCACTGGAAGCTCTCTGTTCTGGAGGACCTCAGAAGCAATAGTAGTAATCTGTATGCTCAGTCATATTGTCTGAATTTGTAACGAAGATACCAGAACTGTTCTCTCAGTAATTGTACAACAATAGTATTTCCTTTTGTTGATGTACTTGTTTCTTAAGTTACGTCGTAGAATAAGGAATTCCTTTAAGGGACACCAACAAATGTCAGCTTTTCTCAGAGTAGCACTGAATAGCTCCGGGTGGCAAAAATATCTCAAATAATAATAATAATAATAAATAAAATAAAAAAGCAGTTGCTTTCAGTCAAAAAGATTTAGCTTAATTACAGTGATTCTTCTTGGTAAATCTTGCAGTGCCATTTTATATTTTAGGTTAGCTAGAATGGCAGAACTGCTCATAATGAGTTATCAGTGGACTGAGATGTTTTCCTATCACAGATCAGTCAAGGCTAGGACAGGAAAAAATTCTCCAAATGAAAATCTAAATTAATGCTAATCCTATACCTGTAATTAAAATAATAATAATAATAATAATAATAATAATAATAATAATAATAATAATAATAATAATAATCCTTCATACTTATGACAGGGAAAGCTACAGCGATTTTCTCACCCTTAGTTTATATTGTTATCATTGAAATGAGTTAATTAATTCAAGAGGTTATCGGCACAGCATCATGATGCTTCTATGAGAAGAAGTTTCATTAAGTTCATCTTATAGATGGCTTTACATATCCTTCTCAAGACTTAAATGCCAAGAAGTCTCCTAGTCCAAAAGTCAAGTGAATTTATTTTTAATTTATTTGGACTTCTAAATGAATGTAAGCTGATCTTGTAAACATTTAAAAGTCACATCATGTGTGTTATGCTGTGTTACATTAACAAGAGAAATATTTTTATGGACTGTAAAGGTTTCTGACCTTTTCAAAATACATCATTCTCATAGGAAAGCATAGAACTGGCTTACCTAAGAAATGACCTTAACAAATACGTCCTGATCAGAGTGGACATGGGAACATGGATCACAGTTTTATATTGCTAATTCTGGATATGTCTTATAAGTGTACAGAACACACACACTTATTTTTGTTTGATGGAACAACCTGAGGCTGTGTTATGGTCCAAATCCAAAGAGTAAGGTGATAAGGATCCTTAAAGTCTTGGTGAAATCTTTAATAAGTGTCACTGGTGAATATCTATCTTGATAATCCTTCTTCAAACATGCTGAAAGATGCACTCTTAAAGTCTTCCCTTCATCAAGTAGAGTTCTTCCTGACTGTGATATCTCACCATAATTATTTGCACTGTGGTTATATTGATTCTCTTCCTTGACTGCTGGTTTTGTGTTTTTATAACATATTTTTTCTTCTTGCTGACAAGAGGCTTAAGCAAGACATGAAGAGCCTCCATTCATTTGCTCTCGAGCTTTCAAAAGACTTTCAGCGTCAATACAAGGCTTGTCTTTACCAAGTTTTGACAGCAGTCCAAGGGATACAGCTGCAAAATGAAGCAATGCAAAGTAAGGCTCTTACATGTACATAACCAGTCACGTAATACCAACAATGTCATTCTTAAATATTAGTAACACTGATAGATTGAGTTCAATTCCAAGATACAAACACTTTTTTCTACTGGGTGTTAGATCATCTAGGAGTCCTGAGAGTCAGAAAAAGCCAACCTGGATTTTCTCAGGGCTGATAATTTGAGTTTAGCTCTTGTGTTGATTGCAGCTGATGCCAGACTGCTGAGCTGGCTTAGCTGTAACATCTTTATTCTGTAGGTCTCAGGCTTTTTGTTGTGATAATTTTAGAACAGCCTGATAAAGAACGTGTTACCTTAGCTGAAATTTGCCTGATTTGGGGTATACCAGAAGAGGACTCAAGTGATTTCAGAGATTTCTGAAACATAAGGAATGCTGCTTCAGAATCCAGATCCTCATTCATGTGTATGTATAAACAGACCCTGCAGTGCAATGGTGCTCACTGTTGTTATCACTGAAGACCAAGTGCATTGGTCCTGTGTCTGGGTCATTTGGTGTATACCTTTGCTTTGCCTTCCAATGTTATTGATTCTGATGGTGCTCCTACCAGATGTGAGAACAACATAACAAGTACCAACCTGATTGTGAAACAGGGCTTAAGTTGATGTTTGTGAGGCTGAAGAACTACAAGCAAGTATACAAATTTATCATCAGAGTCCCTGCATAATTGATACCTATGTATTGTCATGTAAAAATAGGTTGTACAGCTGCTGTGCTTTTTATTTGAAATGATTCTGAGACAGTTTTGATTCTGTTGGGGCTACTCTTGTCAGTAACAATAAATAGCATGATCAGTGACAGATGTCTGCAGAACTTGTATATTATGTATAAACTCATGATTAAAATGGTAATCCGTTACTGTGTTATCTGTGTAGAGAAAATACTTCAGAAAGTTTAAAATTGGAAAAAATAAAGTAGAAAGTTAAATCAGGGTGAATGTTCCAATGTTCCCTTTATCAAAACAGGGGTCTAAAAGAGCAGATATGAAGTAAGATTTGGCATGTGTGCTGATGTGGTACATAATTACTAAATATTACTTATGAGGCCTTGTAAATTCCTGTTGGCTGAACCAGCTTCATACCTTGTGAGGTATTTTTCTGTGAATTCAGAACCAGAGAAGCTTCATCGCATGTAGCAAAAGTTTGTGTTGGTACTTAGGTGGGTGATGTTTTAAATTTGGCCATTGTTCAGTTGTTTCTCAGTTGTTTTAGATGACGATTCCAATGCTAAGGTTAAATACTGTGATCAGAATTGCCAATCTGAAATCACATGTAATATTTCCTAAGCAGAAAGCCCAAAGTATGTAATTTAGAGACAGCATATGTTACTGGTTTAATCCTAAAATAGAGATCGAAAGTGAGAGAATTATAGAAGAAACGTTCAAGCAGGCTAATTTTGAAGTTGTAATGGGCATACAGCAAACTGTAAATCTCCTATGTAATAGCTGAGTAATGCCCTGCTTAGAAATATTTAGTCACATCTGAAAATAAGATTATTGACATCTTTCCCTGTGAAATACATATAGAAATAATTTGTAAAAGAGAGAAGTGTCCTTTATTCTTTTGTTATATGTAGGCCTTTTGCATGAGCTGCAATTGTATTTTGAAAAGTCACAGTTTTCAGTTAGTTCTTTAAAACAACTTCCTTCTTCCAGTGTTTCAGATGAAGGCTTTTGATCTTGAGCAGTCCCTGCAAGAGGTGACAGAGAGATACGAGAGAGAAAAGCAGAAGAGGAGAGCTCTACATAACAGCTTAGTTGTAAGTACCTTGAAAGACAAAGCATCTTCATGTTTTGATTTAATCATATCTTACAACTTCTTCACCAGTGAAACTAATTAACGTACTTCTCCTGGATGTATCACTTCCAACCAGCATCTGTCTACATGTGGTACATTTCTACATGTGTACATTACAATAACCCCAGACCATTGTTTTTTACATAAGCATCCACATGCATTCCTGGAGTATTTTGTCCAAAGGAGTATCATCCATCTTGAATAGTGTGCAAAATCTGAGTTTCTTCATCCCGTCTTTAATTGGAAAATACCATTTCTCATCTGGCAATTCCTCTACAATATGAAATTCCAGGTAAATCAATTCATGTTTGATTTAGCACCAATGCTCCTCTGAAACTGTTTTAGAATTCTTAAAATGATCAACATGAAACTGCAGGATTATCTTCATTTTATATTTCCAAGCATATCTTGCTGTACCTGCTCAGGCATTCGTGATGGTTCATTTGGGATTGATTGTTTTGTTTTTTGTTCTTCAACTTCACTGCCTCCTCATCTCCCCAAAGGACTAATTAGGGGTTCAGGACCTCACTTTTAGAAAGACAGGCAACATTCAAACAAAGTTCTTCTGATGTTTTTTTCTGCCTGGGAAGAAGAAGCTCTTCATTGGAAAGCACTTACCTCCCAAAATCTTTCTTGTGTTGCAGTTTGCTGAGAGGATATTCCCCAAGGCAGTGTGGGGAGTGTTCACTGCTCATCACAGGCGGCCTGCTTTCAGCAATACAAAATGAGAAGAAATCATCACGAACCAAAAGGAAAGAAAGGCACCAGGTTAGATAAGGAAAAGTCTGAAGCAGCCTGGAGAGAAAAATCAGTACTGGCTTTTCAGTCATGTATGAACACAGAGTGAAGAGAAAAAAGAACAAAATATTTTATATCCCACATCTCCCTTAGGGCTGCTGGAGGAGACGTGCAGTGTTTAATCTTGGCTGCTGTGTTAATGTAAGTTAAGAAGATCATGTGAAGAGAAGGAGGCTGAAGAGGAGAAAATGGCTTTAACTGAAAGCGTCTTTTGTTTTTCTTACAGACTGAAGGGGGCTACGCCATTTCTGAGCTCTGAGAAGATTATGCTTTCTCAAATAAAGTTATGAGAAAGCAAATGATACTGAGACTATTTTATCTCCACAGAACCTAAGGCTGTGATGTTGCAAGAGGTTGACTGCTTTCTTAAACACATATAAATTTCTGTATGTGAGTGTGTTTCTCCTCTCCAGTATTTGATATTAAATCATGTTAATGTTCTAATTCTAGGAGCTGAGAGGAAATATCAGAGTCCATTGCAGGATCCGACCATCACTGCCTTTTGATCATGCTGCTGGACATTCAGTATCACAAGATAGGTAATTTATTATGGCTGTGTTATATCTCCTCTGACTCACAGTTAATGTGAAGAGAAAATAATAGCCAGATATATACGAGAACAATGATATTCTGTTTTGTTGTTTGTTTGTTTTTCTTTTCTTTTGTGGGGATACTGTGACAGAATCATTTAAAAAAATACATATTCTTTCTTCGTTCTCCTGCTAACTTGGCATCAGCCAACCTTATCCCTTCGTCTAAAACTATGTCCACCTGAATAGGAGGACGTAACAGTTGAACAATCCACAATTATCTGTGGTTTGGCAGAAGTAACACAGCTGTAGTCAATGTAGAGTACATTCACCATTCTGTACAAAGACTGGGATACAGTGATGTAACAGCAGAACTGTCAGAAATCGTCAGTAGAGAAATGCTCTCGGCATTGCTCGTTTGTTTTTTTGTTTGTTTGTTTGTTTTTTATAATGCTACAGAATGGATTTGCTGTCAGCACAAACACTGGTGATTGTATTTCAGTATAATTTGGCTCTGCATCCCTAATTTATAATACACTTACTGTAACTGAAGTGTCAACACCACTCAAGATCCAAAGGGAAAAGAGGGATTAAGTGCAAGTATGTGTCATAACAAGCTGAATTCTCCATAGATGACTAACACGAAAGAAGGTAGGGACTGAAACATACACAAACAGAGAAAGAAGGGGAAAACTAGGTGGGTGGCTAAAAAAACAGAAATATTATCATCTGACCTATCAGAACATGACTAATTTGGGAGTTTATTTTACTTTTTACTGACTACTTTTTCTAAAAGAGTACGTACAGGGTTTTAAAGTTTGTTCATATTTGGTAAATGTTTAGAAAAAATATTCAAATATTTTAATTAAAATAATGTAAATATACCCAACAAAAAATTTCAAGGAGCCTAAAAGAGAAACCTGCATTAAGCTATACTTGATATACATGGGGAAGAACCAATGCTCTGTTTTTGCTGTTGTATGGAATAGAATAGTTAGGAGCCAAATCGCCGTGTAAAGCAGGGACAAACACATAATTGTTAAGACAAACTTTTCTTAATATATAAAAAAAGAAATTTAATTAACACTTATTTGTATAACTAGGGACTGATTCTGAAAACACATACACACACGAGTGCATCTATGTACCTCACATTCCCAGTCATAAGTTTTTGACTAGTAATGGATACAGAATTACTTCTGACTGCATTTGCAGGGTCAGGACCAAATACCTACAAAGAAGGTGCTCTTCAATTTAATGCACTAAAAAGGGGAAACCTCTTCTTACAATCTCACATTACCATCGCAAAACAATACAATGGTTTGCATGTGAAATATTCTTAATTATATTTGTTCTCAATTGCTTTTTTTAAGGAGATTATTTTGGTTGATTGAACTATCATGATTCACAAGTAAGCGTGGTTCTAGCCTGTTCATGGGTTAGAGTCGTAATGGAATTATGAAAGGTGCTCTTTAGATAGATAACGTGCCATTCATAGACATTTTGAGCCTTGACTTTCCTGACCTAAATGGAACATTTGGGTTTGCAAGGTTTTTTGTTTTTTTTTTTTTTAATTTTAATTTTAATTTTTTTTTACTCCTATTGATTTCTTTTTTTTCTTCCAGGCACAGAAGCTCTCTAGAAAATGTGGCATATGCCATTGATGATGTGAGTATATTTCATGGTGAAATTCAAGAACACACTTACTGATACTTGTAAAGAGATACAAAAGGAATATGTGAACCAGAGGTATAAAAATTAATAGGGTAGGGTGGCTTTCTTTGTCAGTTGGTGCCCAGCTTTGTTCTCACATGGTGCAATAGCAGGTGATCTGTGCTGTTCTCATCCTGACTCTTTGCAGTAATAGTAGCTTGGAGTTTCTGCTGCTGCAAGAACTGGAGCTTTGGTGTTTTCAGCAGTCAAACTGTTGCAGAATCCCCACAGTCAGTCCCTTTGAGCCACTTGCATTTATTGTTATCATTTCTAAATTACGGTAGGCTTTTTTCATTTTACTATTAGAGAACAACTAACGCATTAGCATGGAAATATGATATCTCAGCAACCACAGCAGCCTATGTGGTACTGCAGTCAGGCATATTGAAGTCTTGGCTCAGATCCATCAGAGGAAGGAGAATGAGCATTGAGGTTGCAAATCCAGATGGTGTTACAGCGTTAATTGTGGCCATTACCAAGACATAAAATTTGAGAAGACACAGTAGCAGGAACTAAGGTCAAAGTATTAAATTAGGTTTTAATTTTCTTAGCCACCATAGTTCTTACAATGTTGCTATATGGTGATTAGCCAAATTCTCTTAGTATAGAGCTTAAAATATTGCTGAAGTGACCTAAGGTGTGTTATGCATTTAAATCTCCCAAATTATAGCTTCATTAAGCAGATCTCGGTTGTATAAAGTGAACAATTAGAGAGATATATATGCAATTAGGGACTAATGGAGCATATGAAAAGTCAGCTAAGAATGAATAAATATGTCAGGAGATAATCAACAGGGATCTGCAATATTAGATGTAGTATTTCTGGATGCCACGATTCATTTATTGCACTATAAAATTACTCACCCGTTTCCGACCTGTTATATTTTATTGTACGAAGATGAAATTAGGTTATATTTGGATTGTTTTATATAGATATAGATACCTCATATTTACTGTATGTGTATTTTGACAGACAAAGCGGTGTCTGTTTGCCTATGCTAGTAGGCATAGAGTTTTAGTTTGTATGAAATGTGATCAGGTACCCTTCAATATGCTAACCTGTTATCATGTTTGAAAGTCTGTATGAGATATTCTAGGAAAATAAGCATATGCATGGACTTAATTGTGAAATGAAATTTCCAACACCATAGAATCTTTTAGGTTGAAAAAACCCTCTTAAGATTTTCAAATGTAAAGATACCATCTTCCTGATTTTGGAAAACGTGATACTGACTTGCAGTTCTTTATTGGTTTGCCTTGACATTTATTTATTTATATTATTAAGATGCTTTCTAGTTCTGATTGAGCACCTTACATATTTGTATTAGTTTCTTGAGATATATATATATTAGAATTTTTTTTAGTGTAAACTTATGTGTGAGAATAAAGTACAATGGATTTTTTACAAAAACAAACAAACAAACAAAAACCAGCCACTTTAGGCTAATCCAACAGCAGTAAAGGAAAACAGCAGGTATTGCCAGTTTCATTTGCTTTTAACTGCCCTAGGTGTTATGCTTGTGGCTAAGCTAAAGATGCAATTTTCAGATAAAATCATGAGGTTTCATTCATTCTAAATCTTCCACTTGCAACACAGTCAAAGCTCACATTTGTGGAAACGAGTTACCCATTTTCCAGAAGAGCATTTATGATGTAGAGGAAGTTTTAGATGTATGTGAAGGAAGACCCTTTGTAAGAAAGATGCTGAGTTTATTCACTTTTCTATTTGAATTATGGCTGTTTTCCCCTCCACCTTTTCTTGGGGCAATTTGGTAATAGATCAGGTAGACACGGCGTTAGTAGTTGGTTATATTATCACTCCCCAGGAGCTTATCACCATCCTCATCTACAGGTTTCTTCCCCGTTACTTTCCCTGTACAGGGAGCCCTTTAGGCTGTCCTTGTCTGCCTCAGTGCTGTGTCTGCCTTGCAGAGGCTCTGCTGTAGAGTGATGTCCTTTGGAAGGAGGGCAATAGCCTCCAACAGATATGCAATAACAAGTGATGGGAAGTGATAATTATCACAGCTGGGTTTTGTGACCATATGTCTATATCCACTCATTTGAATTTGCCTCATTTAAAATTATTTCTGTGCCTTACTGATTTTCACTTACTGAGGAGCTCCCCAGGCTTGGGTGTCAGGACAGCCTGTGAATGTCATTTCAGTGATTCATGTTGCCCTTAAAAAACTCAGGGCAGGAGTTTTCTGTGGCTCAAAGATGGAAAGAAATGTTCATCAGTGTTTGTGTGATAGAGCTGTGGATTTCATACACTCTACTGACAAGGAAAGCTGATGAGGTTTCCTTATGCCAGCAGCTGCAGTGGATATGTTAGTCTGCAGTGATCTCCTGAGGAAGGAAGGGAATTACAAATGCTTACATGAAATTTCTGCCTGTTAACAATGCTTTTGTTTCTGTATAATGCCAATTTTTTTTTTTCTATCCCATTTCTAACATTATGGAAGCTGTTTTTTTGTTTGTTTGTTTGTTTGTTTGTTTCTTTTGTTTTGTTTTGTTTTGTTTTTTTCCCCTGTAGGCTACTGGTCACTGCTGATATTAGAATGTCTGCGTCAGGTCATTTTGTAGCAAAACCTTGTACCTCACACCTGCCCTGTTGCTAAATTTGCCTACTGGAATGGATGTATTGGTTCATGCTATAGCAAGTGTTGCCATCATTAGATTGATAGTGAAAACACTTCTCCACAAAGAAGGAAACACTTGTAACTTAAGAGAACTGTTTTTTGTTAGAATCTCTGCATGGAGGATATACTGTTATTCAGTCACTATTGGCTCAGTTCTTCACTACTTCACTCAATGCCTACTTCACTATGTAGGTCACTCCAAAAGTAATGCCTTCTATTAATTTCCACAAAAAGTGCAACAGATACAAAAAGCACAATAACACTAGTTGGTAGAGCAAATTCTCAGCTACAAAGATTGTTGTTCAACGTAGTCACCACCGTTAACTGTGCATTTTTGTTAGTGATGAACAAGAGCCTCCATGCTGTGCTAATAAAAATTTGCACCAGTGGAGCAATTTCTATGACCCACTGTTGTTCTGATGGCATTGTTGCTGAAATGCACCCCCTTCCACCTCACTGTGCTCACATCCACTGTTTGGTCTCCAGAAACACTCAGCAAGCATCAGTGAATGTCAATGGGTGCCATTTTTTCTGCATGGAGGAATTCAGTGCCACACCTTTGCTTCATACGTGAGCCCATGTCAGACACTATTTTGTCAGACTGCCCCTCTTCTGCCATCTGTCTGTCACAGAGCAACGGCATGTAATGGAGTATTGATGGGAAGGTTCAACCTCTACTGCCATATCACCGACATCCACCTCTGATGTCATGGACTGGCAAAATAAAATAGGAGACATTATTTTCAGAGCACCCATCCTGGTTTGAGGGATGTAAGTTTAACAGCCTGCTTGTTGGAAGAACAGTAAAAATTTCAGCACTTCCATCAGATGCTGTAACATAAGCACAAGTTAGTAAGCTAGGAAATCTCAGTGAACAAGATGAAGTATTTCGTGTGCTGAAGAGATTCCAACTGAACTGTTGTAAGCACTCACGTTTAATTCTTTACTTTTGTCTACAATTAAGCAAGATATGCCATGAGGAATTTGAAGGTCACACAACTTACTACTTAGGGCATTCCAGACTTCTGTAATTTCTTTGGTAATCGTTCAAAGAGCTGCTTATACATTTGTCTAGCTTACAAAACTGCTATATAATTCATCTGGAAAGTGGATTCTGCTAAAAAATTGTGGAAATCCAGCAATTGTGTGACTTCAGTTCTTTCTCACAGTTGTGGAATAAAATGATATGCCAAGAAATCTTGAGGCATCTTCTGCCTCAATTCTAGGCACAAATATTTATGAAAACAATCTGAAAAGACAGCATGAAAACTGTCCTTACAATGAAAAATATATATATATTTTTTTGCAGTTTATTTATCTGTAGTGGTGATTAGAGATGTTAGATTTCTAGGTGTCTGGGTTCTCTGGGCACGTAAGAAGCTTAGGTAATTGTTTGGATCTTTCTTATGAAAGGTGCATATTTTGTGTTGGTTGTTTGTTAATAATCTGAATGTGCTCTAAGATCCTTACTTGTGGTCTTGCTAATTCACCACAGTGCAGTAAATGTTTCTGTTTTATACACACATTTGTGACATTAACTGTAAGTATTTTGTTCTCCTTGTAGGAAACTGTCCTTGTAAAGTGTAGCCGTCCTGGTCATGCACCAATAAACAAGACTTTTCAGTTTGAAAGGTAAGTAGACCCGTGTAGCTGGGACATTTATGTAGCAAAGGACAATTTTTGTAGTCACTAGTTGAAAGGAAATGTTTTTTTTTAAAAAAAAATAATAATATATATATAGAGAGAGAGAGAAAGAGAGAGTAGTGGCATGTGAAAAAGAGCTCCTCTGTGAGAAAATCTGTGATGTGAGCACTTTCCTTGTAAGATGGCCGAGAACCCACATAACCAGACATGAGAGATCTTGAATGCAGGAGTAGGAGAGAAGGGTCTTAGTTGGTCTTTGTGCCTTATTAGACTTATTAAACTTGATTGAAAGTCAAATGCATCCAACATGTATTATATGTTCTAAATTAATGCTCTGAGCCAGTTTCAGCTCAAGCTGCTGTAGGTTGGCCTAATGTTGCCAGTAACTTGCTCTCTTTGAGGTGTCCTTCTAAGAAGCTGCCTTTTTTCTGCTCATGAAGCCTGAGGACTGCAGTTGTGTAGACTACCAAATGACTGAAAATTCTTGAGATAATGCAAATCTTGGGGAAGCTTTACTCACCTCAAAGGTTACAGGACTCCCTCGCTACAAGGCACATGCAACCTCTCACATGTTTGCAAAGCAATTCCTTTCACCCTCTCGCTATGCCTAATACAGACATACCAGTTGAAGTAAATCCAGAATAATGCTGGAATTCAGTTCCACAGAGCAATGAAGTTAATGGTATTGACACTGGACTCCAGAGCTGCTGTGACTCTGTACATGTGGTACAGATCCTGATCATCAGGAAACGGGTTAAAAAAAAAAAAAATGTAAATCCCCTAAAGAATGCCGTTCTTGGGGAATGTTTTTTCAGTATCCCAGCGCAGCTCTTTTTTATAAACAGAAGAGCATATGGTTCTTATGAACTCAAAAATGTTTATTTTTTTAGCAACATTTTATGGAACTAATAAATGTCAAAATATTTGATTTCAGCTCAGGAAGAAAATTCCAGCTTTCAGCATGTTATGCTTTTATAATTTTATTGGTGAATCAGTTAGCAAAATAAAAAGAAGCCTGGAATTTTCAAGGTGAAATTAACATTAATCACTAGACAGGGGCAAATCTGTCATCATTCTGATAAAAATAAATGGGCTTATGGAAATAGATTCTCTGGATTTGCTGCATCTTTCATGGTTTCAGATAGCTAATTGTCTTCCATGCCTTTAGCCACTGTGATTACAGTGTAGCATAAACCAGTTTGAAGCCAAACTGAAAATACTTCATTTCAGTTTTGATAGAATTTGAAGCACAGGAGCTAAGGAGAGGCAGTAAAAAAACCTTTAGGAAGTTGAGTAAATATTTGGAGTAGTTATTGTAACATTGAACCCCATGCCTTTCCTCTGAACTGCTACACGTACCTGAACCTGACATAGTGAGCTACAGCTATGCTGATTTGTGGTGAAAGCACAGCCCACTAAAACTGGCTGAGTTTAACTCTAGCTGTGGCTGGTGACAACATTTGCTAAGAGCCAAAGCCCTCAGTAGCAACTGAAGACAAATTTTTAATGTTCTTAACTCATAAATACCTTTTAAGTTTGGTGGCTTGGTTTGTTGTTGTTTTTGTTTTTTAATGCAGTAGCTCTGAGGGAGATGTTTTGCTGTGTTAAGGAAAGGTATCATTTCAATACAAATTGAATTATAGCCTGAGTTACTTAAAATACAGGATTTGGTGCTAATGAATATTTCATTGATTGCAGATGATAAATGAAGCAGAGAAAAGTGTCTGGAAGCACTTTTGCTCTTGTACTGACCTTGAAGATGTTATGTGCAAAGCTTATAAAAGCATGTTCTTGTATGCATGCAAAGCGAGGATGGAGTATTGCTATTCAGTGCCTGTGTTCTCCCAATAAGAACTGTGCCACATCTCTGTGTATTTGTTGGTTTCTCAGTTTAGCATGACAGCATGTCAGTGGAATGGCAAGACAAGCAGTATTTGTCCATCAAGCCAGACAAGTGCTCATATCCTGATTAAAGAGAGTACATTTTCATACAGCTTACAATTAGACTGTGGAACACACCGCCACAGGATGTTACTCCAGGCCAAGAATTCAGAAACATGAAAAAGAAACTGAATGCTAATGCTAATCATATTTGTTTTTGAAGCAAAGATTCAACTCATGTTTCAGCTCTGAGACCAGTTTGCAGCTATTATTATTAGGCAGAGATGAATTACTCTGTCTCCCACCATCATAGAGTTTTTTGCTGCTGCTTCTTGCCATTGTCAGAAGCAAAATATTGAACTAAGTGGTTTATGTCTAATTCTGTATCTGTTCATCAGTGATCCCTTCGTACAGTCATATTTATGGAGAACACAAATGCAAAATCTATGTTTGTGCAGTCTACAGACTGTAGTGATCAGATTCTGGTCAACATACAAAGTGCTTTGAGTGAATGCTAGAGAGCCAACATGTTCTCCATTCAGTTAAACTTCTAGTATCATGTATTAAAGCCAAGTGTATTAGTATACTATATACACAGGAAAGTAACTGTACTTTGTAATCTTTGCTGCTACCAGAATTCCTGTTAGTTATTTGGCTATAAAAAATAAAAAGCACACACCACTGACTGGAAAACAGAGCTTAACAGAAAACATCAAGAAAAACATTGCAACAGAAAGGTAGCAGAAGAGGAAGCTTTTTCCAAAGAAAAAGATTCATACCTCAAATTTCTAAGTGTTGGCTATGATACTCATGTTGCAGATTTGGACCATCTTCTATAAGCTGTGTTTGTTGCTGTGTGTATTCTTGTGGAGGATACTTTGTTGGTATGCTAGAGAAGAAATGAATGAATTAGGATGCCTACGTTTTATAATAATAATTTCTTCTCTTTAATGTTTTCTTATTTTCAGGTATTGGCTTTTTATTGTATGAGGTTTATATTTGAGAAGGTTGGAGGAAAAATTTCTTTGAAGAGCCCTGTGTTGCCTTCTTTGTTTTTTGAATGTGAAAAAATGTTTGCAGTGGTTTTACATATAATTGTTTTAGCCCACAAATTATATTGGCATTGCTCTTTTTCTAATAACTTAATTCATTTAATTGTCTTTCATTCACTTTAAAACTTACTTTGAAATATACATCATGACTCCAAAAAAGCAGGAGAGACCCTTGAAGTTCTAATTTACAGTCCCTTGGACTGCAACACAGAAGAAAAACAACCAAAAAACTTCTTTGGTGAATTCTGGCCCCTCTCCTGCTTCAAGATTCTCTTCTGTAATGTGCCAGAGGTACAACACATTCCTACGCAACCTCTGGGACATGTTGATGCATCACTTTTTTTCCCTCTAGCCAATTGAACAACGTGGTGACTCCCAAGGAAGCTCAACTCTTCCTCATTACCTTTTAATTTCCTGGCGTAGGATGTCAGGTTTAGAGCAGCAGTGAGTAGTTCTGGTTTGCCAGCTTCATATTGCCAAGCTAAATATTTTTTTTTTAAACCCAATCTGTAAGTGCTATTGTCATAGAAATGTCAGCAGGTCACAAGCTTTATATCATAGGCCTACATTTTCCTTTGTCTTTGCTCCTCAATTATGCCAACATACGTACCTACATCTTTTCTTCATTGCACTTTGCTCCTCAGGGTTTACAATGCTACTGAGTCTCAAGACACGGTGTTTGCAGATGTGGCCCCTTTGCTAACATCTCTCCTGGATGGGTAAGTTAAAAGATGGAAGTAAAAAAGCTAAATGGCAGTTCTCTACTGAAATCCATCCCTTAAGAAGGGTTACTTAATAGAGGCTGTCTGGCTGTGTTCTAAAGCTTTTCGGCTCAGTTTTCCTGTTTTCTTTCTAATGAAAGAGTGAAAATTGTTTCCCTAGATAAAAAAGAGAAAACACTGTTTACAAAAATAAGCATGACAGACAAATTTGGGAAAAAAAAAAAAATAGTTTTTTTTCCCTCTGCTTTCTGGCAAATTTAAGCATTGCTTCTGATGGAGGATGCCATCTTTTTTTCTTTGCTGTGATTTCGTAGAACACTGAAGTTTCCAAATCACTTTTTCTTCCTGGTAGTTAAAAGCAGCCCAGAAGAGGCATATCTTTAAATATTGTGAAACCCCAGGCAACCATTCACACATGCCACGGTAGGACCTATAAGGGCTGTCTGGGGGCAAGAAGATACCTATATGGCCCATAAGGCACAATTCTATTTTATCAAGTGTGGATGACTACAGTTGAGCAACCTTGGGATCACTAGGTTGGAGGAGTTTGGAAAAGTCCATATAACCACTGTTTTATCTCTCTAACTTTTCCTTTGCAGTGAATGTAAGTTTGTTTTGGCTCAGTGTGTTGCCTACATGTATTTGGACATATCTAAAAAATACCTTGATCTGCTCTACTTGCCACTTTCTAATTTGCATAATGAAAAGATCCCATCCTAAAGTTGGGAATTTTATATTCGTTTAGGAAATGTTCTGTTATTGAAAACAAAAAACTGCCTTGTTCTTCTAGTGGCATTTAAACAGAAGCAGATTTTCAGAGGACAGACTGTGCATACAATCATGTTTCTGAGCAGCATTCCCATTGTAAATGTGAAACAGACTTACTTGGTTGGAACCTTGAGCCTTTTTGCTGTTCTTGATTGCTTTGATCAGGTCTCCAAAATGGACTGAAACAACTTTAAGCTTAAGTAGAAAGGAGCACTCCAGCCCTTTTCTTTATTTTTCTTTTCTTTTTATTGTTTTAATGACTTCTTTCTCTTTTTTTTTTAGTATAAATATCCAGGGAGAAGAGATTATTCCATATGCAAAGCAGATAAAGTACAACCAGCTTCAGAGTTTTCAGTTAGCAGTACAGGGCCAGCAAGGAACTAAGATAACATTTCCCCTTTCTTCATAACATTGAAGATTCAACCTTATTTATTTTAAGGAAGGATAAATTTCTCCTTCTTTAATTTCCATTAATAGTGATAACTTTCCTCCTAGGGATAACTTTCCTGTTTTGAACAGGCCCGCTCTTTTTAGGACAGCAATCTTGTGAAAGTATTGGTAGTCTAATTTGACAAGAAGATCTTTTCTAAACAATAATATAACTAATGAAGTAGTGTGGAAAAAGAGAAATGTTGGGGGTACATAGGAGAATCATAAACAGAAAATCCCAGATTAGAAGCCTGAGGTTAGAAGTGGCTTCATGCTCTGTTTGAAATGGTTATGTTGGAAACAGAACATCAACAAAGTGAACTAGATAAACATAAATTAGTCTTCTTTTGCTGCTTGTCCTCTTGTTGAATCACCCAACAATTCATTCTCTCTTGTGTCTTCTTCAGATATAATACAGCTCTGGATAGTTTCAGTTCCTTTGGACATACCGAAATACCACTTTGACTTTGGCAGAGAGGTTGTCACTAGCTTTATTCATGATTTGTATCTTTAAGGTTATTAGCACCTGACTACTTAAATTTTGATCATACCACCTGTATCTTGTCAGAACTATTTGGACTATCTAACAAAAGCTGTGAAGGGGAATTTTATGTAACTGCACAATATGGAAGTTGAAAGACTTCTGAGAAGACTTCCATTCTCTTTTTCCTATGGACACAAGCCACTTGCAGACTTCTGGCTCCCTTTTTGGTTTCAGAGATCTCTCTTTGATTTTGAAGAGGCACTGGAAGCCTCAGGGAGCTATGACTTGGCCAGGCAGTGTGCTCTAGGGAGTGGAACTATGAAAATCACTCATTCTTAGCCTAGCTGAAGACTATCAAAATTATTGGAAGCTTTTCCACTATCATAAATGCAAGCAGAATTATGTCAAAAGTGAGTACTTAGGGATATCCCTTGTTTCAGATTTACAGTTCCAATTTGTAACACATTTTGTTCTTTATTTTCACATAGTTACAGTTCTCTCCTTTACTTCGTCATATCTATGTCTAGACTTCCAGTTTATACTCTTTGCATCCTAAAGATTAGGGGAAACTTTATCATAGGTTCACTGACTGCAGCTTTGACTCCACATTCCCTGAAGAGATATGAAGGAATTTGTTGCATTGCCTACATTTCTTTCTAACAAAATAAAGCTTTATTAGTAATCCTCTAAAATAATTGCTTCTAGACATGCTTAATATGCAAAAACAAACAAACAAAAAAACCACAACCGAACAAAAAAAAAACCCTGCAAATATATTTCTCTGCAGTGGTAATATAAGGATTTGATGACCAAAAACCATACATCTAAAACAATTAGATGAGGGGTATTCATTGAAATTTGCTGGCATGTACTTTGAAACAATATTTTTTGATGTGAGGAAAAGCATCAGATAACCAAAAGCAGCTGTTCAGGTCTGCCACAGAGGAGCTAGGTCTTAAGCAGTAAAATTTTGCTCTTTTCCAAGGATGGAGCAAGCCTATTTTTGCAGCTCTGGTAGAGCAGAAAATCCAGCATACTGCAGAACACTTCCAGTGTATGGAATCTTCTAAAGTTGTGTCTCTGAACAAATAAGAAAGATAAGTAGATGTACATTTTCACCTTCTACATGTCCTTAATGTAGCAGTTCCTCTCACCATTACTCCAGAGCAGCTTCCACATTTATGCTTCCATGGAACCTTATCCAATGCCTTTGGCTTAAGATTTGTGCCTTTTATTGCTAGAGCTGTCTAATCTTTTCCAATGGCTGAGGGCTCTGACTGAGGACTTCATCTGAAAAGACTGTGAGAGCTGAAGAGTTTACTGCTCCCAGCTGTTAAGATGTTTGTGCTGTGGTTTGCAGCATAGCACTGTCAGACAAATCAAATGCAGCAGTGGTTTACTTTAAAATGCTGTACTGTAAACAGGAGTGGTTCAGGAGCTGATTAACAAGCAGCTCAGCAGTGCATGAACTGGAAGTTAGTCAGACAGGAGGTTTAACCTCATCAATCACTCCCAGCTAAGCATCCCTGTTTTTGCCCTTCAAATTTGCTTAAAAAATAAAACCTGTTTAGGGAGATGTTATGAGCAGTACTTTGTCAGATTTTGAGAGCTCCAGAAAGAAAGCTGCAGGTGTGGTGTATATTTTTCCTTTCAATTAGTGTTCCCAAGTTGTTAGAGTCTAAACTTGGTACCTTTCCTAGTTTTGATTATGGTAAAATAAATGAAGGCCCTTTTGAATTTCAGGTATAATGTATGTATTATGGCTTATGGGCAGACTGGAAGTGGGAAAACATACACAATGTTGGGACCACAGTTAGAAGAGAACCTTACATTTGTCGATGAAGATGAATCAGAGCTTGGAATTATTCCTCGTGCTACCCAGGAACTGTTCAGGTAATACTGATCTGATAATATCAACCTAAGCAATGGATGCTTACAGACTTTTCACCTTAAACGTTACAGAAATGTTTGTAATGTATTTATTGTTACAGCTTTTAGTTTCATAGTTATTGTTTATAGCATTTCTGGCTGCCATTTTGTATTTGAGATCTGATACTGATTTCTAACCTCTAGCTTAGTCTGTTTTGCTAAGGAAATAAGACTATGCAATTTCACTGCGTATGTATGTCTGGCTTTCAGATTCCTATAACTTTTCAATATATTTCAATTATAGTAGCACAAACTGAAAAGAAATTTTAAAAGTCCTTACCAGTTTTGTGAAATGGACAGTTGAAATAGGTAAAAAGAATCCAGATAAGAGCTCAGTCCCAAATGATAATTATATTTTAAACCATGATCTGTTTTCACTTTGAGAATGCTTCTCACCTTGTTTTTTTAGTTGAACCTCATGTGTGATTAGAACTGATGTTGTAATAGAAGAGCCCTTAGGTTTTTTTTCAGCTAAGCTGATTTCTTTTGGAAAAAAAAGTGTAAGCTAAATTGAAAGAGCCAATTTTGTTCCAGAATAACAGTGTCTAGCTGGTAGTATGGAATCTCTTATCTGTTAATTGCTTGCACTGTGGCAGAGTTATCATATCTTGAGCTCTGAATGCAGTCAGCTTCAGCAGAGAAATAGCCTGAAAAAACCTTGAGGAGGGAGTGGGATTAGAGGACAAAAAAAAAAATTGAAGCTGGCAATGCTGTTTGGAAAATGAATGTTTTGATTCTTCAGCTTAACATTAGCATCTGGGTGAGGCAAAGTTCTGATTGTTGATATTTAATAAACAGTTTTATCAGAATGCTGATTAGATTACAATTAAAGAATAATTCTATTTTTACAGATTGTTCACTTGAGGTTTGATTTCAGCCTTTTCTGGCTTCATTCATTTGCTTTATTCTACTTTTATTCTCCAGACTTATTTCAGAAAAGCCACCAGGAAGTTACTGGGTTGAGGTTTCTGTTGTAGAAGTGTATAATAATGAAGTTTTTGATCTTCTGGCCAAAGACAGTTGTGGAAAAGTATTTGGTATCAAGCGTGATGTTGTAACAACCAGAGAAGGAAAGAGTGATGTTCCATTGCTTACATATGAGTGAGTACGCAATTTAATCCTTATCATCCAGTCATGACTGAATATCAATGTGATGCCTCGTTGTCCATAATTCCACTATAGATGTCAGAATTTGCTTCTAAACTACGAGTCCTTAGCATATGCAAAAGAAAATATTGGATGGTTCCCTCTGCTTCCATTTCCTCAGTCAGTTAGACTGCAAATATCAAAATACTTTCAGTACTTTATCAAAATCTTCCAATACTTTAACAGTATCAAAGTACATATCAAAATACTTTCAATACTTTAACAGTACAATTATTTTTGGTTACACTTCTGCATTAGCAACTTTGATTCTTATTTACTCATTGTGATGGCTAAGGGAGACCTAAAGAAATTAAGGCTAAAGCTGTACTTACTTTAATTTTTTCTTGCATGGATGTCCTGAGTATTACAACACTTTGTTCTGTGCACATGGGAATAATTTTGGATGTTACATACATGTAGTTTTCAAAGTAAATTCTTCTTAAACATAAAACCCCTTGGCTAATTAGATGACAAAAATATTGTGCTTATATCAATTTGTGCATTAACAAGAGTGAGTCTGTTTCAGATATTTTAGTAACAGATGTCTTGTTTATGCTGGTATTAAGTCAGCATTAATAAGAGTAAAAGTTGACGAGCAGCACTTTTGGCACTTGAGGGGAGAGGCTGCCCAGTGGAATTAAGCTATTGGCCATCTCTCTGTGAGTGCCTAGAATGTGAACAGATCCCTAAAGTGCACACTTCTGCTTGTGCACAACAGGGAGAAGTAGAAATTTAGAAAATATATTCTATTCTTTGGATAAATAAATAAATTTGTGAAAAGAAAAAACTCACCCCAATGACATGTTAAGTGCAGTATGAGAGTGTTTTATGTTTCTGGGGGAAGAATGATGTTTCTCTTCACTTCTCTATCCCGATGCTTGTCACTATCTAAAAACTATACTTTTCTAGGAGGAATTGGAAGTCAGTTATGAAAAGCATTTTCCTTGTCTCTGTGTTAAAACAAAATGCATCTTCAGTAGGAAGGCAGTACTTTTATCCTGTGGGACACAATCACGTAAGCAGAGAACAGCATGAACTCACGTGAACAATCACTAAAAGCCCTGATAAAAATACAACAATGTTCTGGTGGGTTACGCAGACATACTTCTATTCTACCTAGTGATATGCACTGCATTTTCTAGCCATTGAGCTACTCATAGAAAATGGAATGCCAGAGAAGTCATAAAGTGCCTTTCTTCACCCTGGGAACTATATAAATCTCCTTTCTTTCTATGAAATAATAATCACTGTAATACTGTTGGAGAGTTTAACATTTTTCTCTGGGGTATGTCTGCTCTTCTTGAGGTTAAATATGATTTCCAGACAAATTCTGCACCCTTGATTGCACTCTGTACGCTTCATAAGAGCATGGTATGAATTAAAAATGAACGGAGCTTGAAGTGATGAATCCTCTTGCCATCTCTGTCTGTATTATGCTGCATGGTGGGTTTTTCTTGGTTTGTGTTCTTAGATTTCCCCAGCTGTGTCTCTCCTCTGACTCTTAGCATCTGGTTAAGTCTCTGTCAGTAAAAAGAAAAACTCCTTCAGAAGTGAGTGGTATGGAGCCTAACCTGTTTGTGCTGAATCTTTCTTGAAGAAGCTGATCTCTTGCTTTTGTCTAGAGAAGGAAGGAACAGTGTGATTCAGAAAAAAAACAAGTTAGCATAGTGTGGGTATGGTAGAAATTAACTTTTTGATAATTCTTAATTATTGCATTTCAGTAATTAAGATGAAGTTCTGGATTCATTCCTGAAGAAATCCTATGCACTTTCCCCATGGAGATTTTTATAGTATGCAAGTGACCCTTCTCTTTTCTGGGCTTTGGAGAAGGGAGAGGTGAGGGGTAGCTGGACTTGTGCCCCAGAGAAAGAAATTACAATCTGCAGTAAGATTTCGTTTCTATTTCTAGTTCATAAAATTGATGCAGTATTTATTTCTCTCAATTTTAATTTATGGTAACGGAACCTGGTGCCTGCAGCTAACCACCTCTTAAAAACATAATCAATCAATAAGTACTCTGTTAGAAAGCAAATATAAATTAGAATATGGGCTTGCATCTCAATTACAATGCAAGCAGCAAAGAAGTCCAATTCATAAACAAGCTATATTAATAATTACACAGAAAGGTTAATAAGAAAGAGCAAATCCAAACAAAGTAAGGGAACCACTGAATGAAGCCACCCAGCTGCCTGAAATCTAAAATAAACAGCTGATGCTTTGAATAAAAACACATCCTCATTTGTGATATTTCATCTAGAATATAGTGGCCTGTTGGGTCTTACTGACTTCCCCCATTAAAAAACAGTAGTCTCTTTCCTGCTAACATGTACATCCCCCTGAATCACAAAAACCTCAGTCTCTTTCTTCTTTTATGACTTAGTTGACTTTGGAGGATGCTCAGCATTAAATTTTTAGCCTAACTACACCAGGGTTTCTCTTTGTAGAATGTGGTTCTGGAACACATGGTACATACAGCTCAGTAAGGCAGTAGAGGCTATTACCATCAGTCCTGCTGAGAAGATACCACCATGGCAAGTGTGCAGCACTGTGCTGGGGACGTTCTTTACCTCCAAAGTCAACTGCAACTGCCTAGTAGGTGACCAGCACTAACTGCACACCCTGAGGCTTATCTTCTGCAAACTCTCGTTAAAGCACAGCAGTCCACAGCATGAAGTTTGTTGCAGTCATTTTGCTCCTGCAGCCATGTTGTAGAGTGTAACTGAGCTGCACAGGAAACTGCTTTTAAGTAGCTGCTTCTCTTTAAGCATGTATATGTATGGTGAAGCCAAGTGGTGTTCTCTTCTTCAGATGCCTTTGGTATAGCTCTTTCCTTTCTCTGTACTCTTCAATTATGGCTCTTCATAGTATGAACTGTATTTGTGCTTAGTATGTTTTTGCTGAAATCGGACAAATCTAAGGCAAGATGGCCTTGTCTTTTATCATGTGCTTGCTTTTGCTAACTGCAGTAATATGGAACCAAGGCTGTAGCAGGCAGTCTGTCAGGAAGGGATTTAGGGATTCTGCTGTATTACAAGGCATTAAGTAACCAAGCTGTTATATACAGCCATAATAATTTATATTCCCCATTGCGAAACAAATGGTTAGGTGATGAAACTTGAGTGATTATTAAAGAAGGCAGTGACACAAAGGGAGAATAAAGGCAAATCTTGCATCATTTGTTTTTAACATTGCAAACTTAGGGAAAAATCATAGCGTTTTACTTAACCAGTTGATTTCTGTGTCAGATTTTCTTCCCTTCAATAGGTTATATAAGCAGTATGTCTTTCAACTGGAAAAGAAAACTGGTAACATAAGATAAAATTGTCTATAGAAACTTACATTGACTGTTCTGACAGTGCTGAGTTCTAAGGTTTGACAAATAGCAACTCCAACATTTTCTCAAAGATTCTGGATTTTATTCCAAGCATGAGCTGCAGTTTCCAAAGGTTCTGAATTATTTTTTTTTTCCACTTAATTCTGTGCCTCCAAAAAAAAAAAAAAAAAAGCAGAAACTACCTTAACATCAACTGGACAATTCCACATCTGTAACACCAGAGATGCCAGGAATGTGTAAATCTGTCTTTCCATTTCCCTCCTCTCCCCTCACCCAGAGTGTGAAGAAATAGAAATTTCAGTCACTCCTAGAGCTGAGATACTGTATTTAAAGACCTACAAGGTTGGCAGGATGCTTCCTTCTTCTTCAGCACTTCCACTGCTACATAACTCCTTATGAAAAAAGCCTATACAACAGCTGTTTGCACAGCTCAAAACTGAGATTAGTTTTCAGAGGTAGAGTTAAGAATAGTACAGGGAGTTAGAAGACCAAGGAAGTGTAAAAGCTGGAATTCAGATCTGAGCTGCCCGCTTTCTCATGTAATTTTTACTGTGAATCGGTTAAACCTTCTGCTTGTTTGTTTACTTCCTAGGACTGTTGCAAATGCATCTGAATTTTTGCACCTAGTTATCAAAGGCCTACAGCTAAGAGTCAGGCACCCAACACTGGTGCATGCTCATTCCTCTCGTTCCCATCTGGTGGTTACATTGACCATAACCACAATTGTCTCTGGAGATAATTTTGGTAAGTAATACTAAAATACACCAGTTGTTTCTGAATTTCTTCCTTTGCTCAGTGCTTAATACATTTCCTCTGTTATTTTTCTTTACCTTCTAAATGCTGTCTTAAAAAACTGACTGGTTTGATTTCTCACTGCTGAGGGTTTTCTTAGAGGCTTTCATAGAAAACTCTCATTTCACATCTCTTGACTTACAGAGTCTTTGACATTTTATAGCATGAAATGGCTAATAAAGTAAATTTTATCAGTAAGATAAATACTCAAATAGAGTAGTTAAATCAGTTTGTAACATGTATCATTTAATTATTCATGATAAGCTTGAGGTAAAGCTAACCATGTCTTTTAGGGGTCAGCGTAAGCTGTCAGTGGGAGAATTTATTTTTTCTTTTTACCTGCTGCCTTGCAAAAAAGTCCCTTCCATTAGGACGACATCCTAAACTGTTAACAATAGGCCACTGTAGGAATAGGCAACATAGTCATCTTAGTGTGGCTAATCCTGTACTTCTACTTTTCATTACCACACCAAGACATACCAGTTTATTGCTTTAGGAATAACTTTGGCTTTTGAGGGTTAACTTTGTTTTCTTTTGCTTATGTTGTAATTAGACTCTCTGTTTCCAGTGCTGTGGTCTGTCTCCTTCATACTCTGAAACAACAGTATGGTTCAAGAAAGTGGAAAATACTTAACATTTTTTCCCCTAGATTGCTATCGGAAATTAAACCGACAGTATTAGCAAAACAGAACAAACAGTGCCCCCACTTACCTGCTGCCCTTGCCAAAAGACACAGTTGCTTCACATGTTGCAGTTTTAACATTCCAGATGTTAGCTCTAGCCAGTTCCAGATTCTTGTCAATCAGGCAGATGTTACTTCTCAGAGCACAGTGTTTGCACTGTAGCACAACAGCCATCTTGCCCAGTCCAGGCTTCCTTTTGCCATTTCTACATTCAACACTATGACACCGTATTATCTGGCAACAGAAGTCTACGAATATGTCTAATTTATGGTGAAAACAGAGGAAGGTGAGAAATAGAGGTAAAAAAGCAGCACTGCAGATGGGATCTCGCTTGTAGCAGTGTGTAATATTCACAGAGAGCAATTCTGGATCTAGTTGTAACTGTCAGATATCTCGAAAGCGGAGATCTAAAATCACTAAATATAATGTTTTAAAGCCTGTGACTAGTTGTGCACTGAAAACTACAGTTGATGAATAGTTTCGCTGCAAATCTTCTAACGCTATGTTTCAGAAATGTCTATTGTTTGAGGAGAGCAGTTACTTTGCTTCTTCATCTCAGACTGAGGAGGATAAAGAACATCTAGTTTTTTAATTACGCTGTCTGTCCTAAAGCCATTTTGCTAGCTTTTTAGTGTATTAACAGCCTAGCTGGAGTGGCATGGAGCTCTGCAACCCAGTTCAGTCTGCTCTTTACTGAAGTTTTGCAGCTGTAAACTTTGTATTATTGCAACTAGACTCTTAAGTCCTCTGAATAGATTCTCCTGTCTCTATTACTTTTAACAGAGTGTGTGCCAGAATGCCCCAAGCCCTGTCTTTACATCCTGCTAAGGACAGAACTGAAGAGGCAGGATGAACCTTTTCCCTTTTTCTTCTTTTACTTCAGAACACCATCAGAGAATGCGTCAAATGCTTAGAAACAAGGCTTCAGAGTTTACTGCTCCCAAACATCTTTGCTTGCAGTCAGTATAAAACATGAAAAAGTACCTCTTAATGTCCTTAGTGTCTCATCTCCCATACTGAAGTGTGAGTGATGGGGATGTTACATACAGTACAATCTATAACGAGCCTTCTTACCAAAAGGCACGATGGTTTTGATAAGGAAAGCCTTAAACAAGACTGAAAAAGTCACGCAGCCAGCCCATGCCATGATTCTGGCTCATATAACATTTCAGTTAGAACAGTCTGAAATAGCAGATATTGTACTCCCCACTGATAACCAATTTCCAGTGCCAGTAAGAAGCTGGAGTTTTGGTGGTTTTTTGTTGTTGTTTTTTTTGGTCCTCCAATTAAACAGGTACTTCATGGGAAGATGAACAAATCAATCAAAGACTGAATAAAGAGGCTTCCTGCACCTATCCACAAAAAAGAGACAGTAAATCTACCTCTTCTTCCAGAGCCTCTTCACCAGCACAACTTGAAGCAGCTGAGAAACTGAAGCAAGTCAAAACTAGGCTGCAGCTGGTAGATCTGGCTGGCAGTGAATGTGTAGGTAAGCAAACATGTCTGTTTATGACAAAGCTGTTAGAAATGGTGAGCATGGATCCTCCCAGATCTGAATTCAAACATTTCTCTTTAGCACTTTAGGTACATAGGGATACGTGCTACCCTGCTTTCACACAACAGATCCTGGCATAAAAGAAACTTTGAGGCCTGATTGTTCCAGTTTGAGGCTGGTATGGTTTTAACTGAAAAAATCCAACTGTATGCCTGAAAGAAACCCAGGGCATTTACCCCATTCATGGGTGTATTATTGGTTCAGACTGGTTTTATTAGGCTCACTTTTCTATACTGAAAATTACCGGGCTTTTGCACAGAAATGTTTAAAGTGCATAAATTATTTAAATACTACATATCCGTACTAATTGATATCACTATTTTTCTGACTTACTGTGGAGAGAGTCTTGAAGGAAGTTAGTATTGAAAAGAAAATATTGTTTCTGTTGTTTCTTCAAAACGTTTTCTTCCTCCTCCCCTCCTCTACACACACACAATAATTTCAGAAACTTGATTATTTCCTAAAGGGCAAGATTGCTTACCAAGAAAAGCCATGCAGCCAAATGTACCATTCCAGAAATAATGTTTTGATAACTGAACCAGTATTATGAAAGAGTCCTTTACATTACTGCCAAGAATTCTTGCTGTTCTTCACTGTTAAACTTTTGTTCTACAGAAAAGCCTAATATAATACAATATTTTTTTCATCTGCTCTGAGCACTGGAAATTGTTTGGTAAACATGTAATTGAGCAACACTGTGTGGGTTTGCTCTCTCAGTTCAACCAGGACAAACATTTGCTTGGTTTAGGGCTCTGCAGGCTCACTTACACATCAGTATTAGATGTGGCCCAGCACATGTGGTAGACTAACCTCTGCCATTTGGCTACATTGGTGGAGATTTGAAAATGCCGGACTTACTCTGATGAAAGAGAGGGACAGCTATCAACCCATAATTGTTTCAAAATGTAGACAAATAAGTGAGCAGAAGTACAGCAAACATCACACACACTGAAGATGTACATCAGCACCTGGCCTTGCTAGCTCCATAGCCACCCTGGGTCATTTACCCGAGTTACAAGACAAGTGATCCATTTTTTAGCAAACTCAGGTTCAGTTTGAGAACAGATATAAACTTTACGTATGTTCAGCTGACCAATTACAGATCTTAGTAGTTTAAACCCTAGCCTCTTAGCAGTTTCCTGTTTCAGAGTGATATCTACTGATTTAAGAGTCTATCTTTAGCTTAGGAATTGCTGTAGAAACAGACCCAATTAAAGCAGGTCTGAAACATCCTGTCTCTCATTATCTACCTGCAGCAAGGTTTTCTAAGCTATTTTGCTCTGTTGAGGTTCCAGCACTTTCTAAAATTAATGCAACTTGGTGTGTAGACAGCACCCTTGCTTGAGGTCCATATGGTTAGTTACGTACCAGCATGGTATAAGAGCATCAACCCGCTACAACAAATCATACCATAAAGAACAGCATCTTACAGATACATAATCCCTCAAGCTTAAGGCTGCTACTCAACTCTTTCTGCAGCTTATGCTATCTGTGTCACTCTTGCTCTTCACAAGCAATACAGACTGGGCAGCTGTTACAAAAATGGCAGAACACAAAAGTCTTCTCTCCCAAGACACTGTGATCTGGTGTTTTAAAAGCCAGTGTTGACTCATCTGATCTTTTGTTCTTCCTACTTCCTAAGTTCCCTATTCATGATACACGTGGAGCCAAGGTGCATTGTACAACTGAAGAGACCAACTTTAACAGGAGAGATGCTATGCAGGTTCAGGCATTAAACCTTCTTTGACCATTCTTCAAAAGAATACAAATACTGAACAATGTGTAGGCAGTCCAGGGTAAGCAACCACTGCATCTTGCTTTTAGCATAGGTGGACTGAAAGGCAGAATTTGCGTTTTGAAAGCATTATGTCAGAAGCAGGTGTTACAACAACAGAACTTCTCACACGTTACATTTGAAGCACTTACTTTTACCATTGCCTTTTCTGCACTGCATTAGGTATGTCTGGAGTGACAGGTGCAGCACTGAGAGAAACATCCTTTATCAACCGCAGCTTGTCTGCCCTAGCAGATGTCCTCGGAGCAATAGCAGAACAGCGATCTCATGTACCGTATCGAAACAGCAAACTTACGCATCTCCTCCAGGATTCTGTAGGTGAGGGTCTATTCTGACTTTTGTTTAATAATGGAGATTTCATCTCCCAGTATTTTCCCCTTCATTGTTCTGCAGAACTGGAGGATGATCCCATGTTGACACTCCTCCTCTCTGGACCTCTATTCACAATCTCTGGCTTCAGAGCACTGCTGCTTTCCAAGGTTAAGAAGTATATTTGGAATAATCACATCTCTAATAGGATAGCAAAGGGTAATGATTGCATCTCACTGACATTTCATGCCACATACACCCTCAAGATAAGTAAACTTCTACAGCATTATCATGTAATTACACATTCTGCACTGTAAAGACAAAAGAGGAAGACTCCAGAATATATGCCTGGTGCTATACTACAACTTCTTTTGTATTTAAGTCACCTCTTCTTTTCTAGCTTCTCATCCGTACAGAAATACAGAAAATTACATTTTCAGGGCAAACGTAATTCCTGCAGTACAGTCAGAATAGTAGCAATCCACGCAGCAGTCCATTTTTCTTCAGCCAGAAAGCATCAGCCCTTATGCTTTCAGTCTCCAGATTTCAGTGAACTGAATAGTTTTTTGGAGCTGCTGAAAGACTATCCACTTTTGCATGAACCTCTATTTTTCTCTTACTGCTGTGGTCTATGCTGTGAAAGGAGAAAGCCAAAGAAACAAGTCTAGGAGCTAAGCTGTATGGGCACTGAGCCTGGTTTTAACTGTCTTGCGTATGACCTGGTGACACTGTTTAAATGAAGTGCTGAAAGTGGCGCTTTCCTTGTTTGTTTACTCAGTCTCTGAACTTTTAATAAATGTGTTTTGCATTACTGTCATGAATGAGGCAAGCAAATGTCACGCAAAGGAAACCATGAATTTTCTAAAACTCAACAAATCTTAATGAAGTGTCCAGATCCGTAACTACATGCAGGCTAACTGGTGATGTTATAAGGGAGAAGAAATCTACATTACAAATTAGGAAATGTTTATTTTACTGGAACAAACATCATATCTTAGATACAGGCTTCCTTTTAAGGACTTGCTTGTTTCCAACAGCTCTCTTTGTGTCTTCTGCCTTGTGTAAGTGCAGTATATGCCAGTTGCTACGTAGATTGGTACATACCAGTGCTTAATTTACTGAAAATAATGAAATAAATGACCATATTCTGTCTTTTTCCTGCTTCTAGGAGGTGATGCTAAACTGCTGGTGATGCTGTGCATCTCTCCCAGTCAGAAGTACTTAACAGAATCAATGCAGTCTTTGGGATTTGGAACTCGTGCTCGGCAAGTTCAGAGAGGACAAATCAAGAAAAGAAATCTCCCTGTGTTGAGTAAAACAAAATAAAACTTAAGACTCCTGTGGATTAAAGTATTATTAATGAGTTCCTCAGACTGAAATGTATATTGTTATCCTAAAGCTATTCTTTTAGATATCAACTGCCAGATAAAATAAGCAATCCTCAACATAGCATTAGTAAGCCATAAACCTGCTGATAACGTTCTTGCTCCAAAGATAATAGCAAGTATTGACAACAGCTACCAACTGCAGTGGAATCACATAGAAATAAATTAGGCTTTTTAAGAAAAGCTACTTCAGGGCATAGTTTTGGTGTTGCATTTCCTTTAGACAAGTAGAACTAAGTCAACAGACCCCACCATTTAAGATGGCTCATTTCTGAAAGGCCAAAACTGCCCTCTGTTTTCTCAGTAGAAGACAGGAATCTGAATAGCATTCTAGTGCTTCAAAGCAGCAAATGAAATACTTCCTCGCAGCTTAGATTAAAATGAGACACATCATCAGGGCTTGATATAACATCTAACTTGGATGGGGCATACCTGTCAACAGGTGGAATGTAAAGGAATCCATCAGCTATATTGAACACAGTGCTGCTGTCAGATTGTAGGTAATGAAATAATGGCACTAGTGAGATGGAGAAAAAGGATTAAGGCTCCAGCTGGTATCCCTCTGGAACGTAGCTTAGGAAGCAAATGAGGGGTTACACAGCTCTTTGAAAACACACTTATGTTAAATGGTTGGAGAAAATACCAGCTCTGTTGAGTTCACTGATGGGTACAAAATAAAAGCAAAATAATGTTTAAAAAAAACCCCACAACTCTACTGCTGAAAGACCCTGAACTACAGATCTTAATGGCTCATAAGAATTTACTGGTACAACCATTTTAGTAGCACCCTTGCTTGTTGTTTCATTTTCATTTCTGAACTTAACCACATCACAACACTGAAGTTGTTTGCACATTATAAACACTTCCCATCCATCAAATGAATAAACCACCAAGAACTCAGTGTGTGATAACTGCCATCCTCAAGAGGCTTTTACATTCATTCACCAATACTGAAACAACAGGGTTTGTGAATGAATTTATACTAACAGAAGTTTCAAGGAAATTTAAGCAAGATGAGAAGTGGTTCTGAGACGAGAGCTGGGTTCACCATAACATCTGATGTGTTTTACACACTGCTTTGTTGCTCAGTAGAGGTCTCAGGATTCACTCTGAATTTTTACCTCCAGCAAGGACTCTGCCTCTAGACTGAGAGAGGTCAGTGGAAGGTCACCACCAGAAGGCTTGAATTGCAGTGGCCTGCCCAAAAGGCTGAAGTTTATAGTACTCCTAGTCACTTAACCTTCATAAGCACAAATATTTACCCAGAGATTATATAGCATACTATTATCGGAATTTCACCCTTGAATATATAACAGCTGCTGCTGTGTTGCATGCAGTATTCTAATGCTCACAGCATTGGCACTGCAGCTTGGAGAGCTGTAACACGTTTTTCTAAAAATAAAAATAAAAATAAAAAAATCACGATGGTAAACATCTCAGCTTTACCCAATTCCAGCAGTACACAGGACTACATAAAATTCAATAGTCAATAAAGAAATCTCAGATAAAGTGTCAGACTGAGGAATGTTGGCCTGTTAAATGAAATTTGGGAGCAGACAGCATCAAGTGTCCCTTAGTCTCATGACAACAACTACTAAATCAACCAGGATTAGAGCTCTATAAGAGGTTAAGTGATGAGAGGAGGTTAGCTGAATCCGTCAGCACCCTGAAGTTCCTCAAATATTTTTGAGGATTTGGCACTAAAAGTTACTTGCAAAGAACTGTGCTTTGTTTTCTGGAGCTGCTCTTCAAAACTTGGAATTTATTTACCATCTTGGTGATGGGAAAAGAAGAAAAAAAAACCACAACCATCAACCCTTATTGTTAAAGCTGAGAACTAAACCTTCAAATATCAGCAAATAACAAAAGTTTAAGTTTCTACACTAACACAAGCTCTGCCAAGTTGTACATAGGCAGCATTCCCTATTCCTGTTCTCCTTGTCAGTGTAGTGTAGTTCTCTGAGCTACACAATGAAGCATGCAGGATATACAGGGTAGTGATGTTAATATTTTGATATAACAACTTGCAGTTTGGGAATTCGATAGGTTACAGAGAGTTGATCTCTCAATCCCAGTATCAGCTTCAAGGCACTGAAGGAAAGAAGGGTGGAAGGTGCGAGGCTTCACCCCAGCACCTGGAGTTTTGTTCTCTCACACCTCAGGCTGTCCTCTTGCTCCCTGCAGCACACAGTGAGCCAAGGCACTGCACAGTCCACCTATCTGTCAAACTGGGCTTCAGATGCTCCTCTAGAATTCCTTCTGCCAGATGAAGCTCCAAGTCCCAATATCAACAAGTGTTTGTCTAGGTAGAGCATACAGATATGCATACACACAGACCTATGCAGAGTCAGCAGAAGTCTAGGCATAGAATCAGACAAAAGCCTTCATGATACAAATCCAAAATAGGGCGCCAGAGTATGTTTCTCAGGAAGTTTATCATCACAGATGGGATTAATTCCTCCAGTTATCACCACCCTTGCAATCAGAGGAAAGGGAGTGTTAGGACAGAGCCACTTCCGGCGGTCTCCCCAGTGCAGCCAGGGAGTCCAGGCAACATGTTCCAAGCCCTGACTCCCAGCTCACCACATCTGGAGAAGCTGGCTACTCAAGGACCTGATTTCAAAGGATATGCAGCCACTGGGACATCTCATTATGTCAACCTCAGTTCCTACCTCCGTATCCAGTTCTGACATTACACTCTGCAGCTCTGGCCCAACACCCCTTCCCTCACCCCTTGCCCTATCTCCAGTCACCTGCAAGACCCAGCTCCATGCACAGCATGTCACATGGCAGCTGCTCCCCATTAGTCCCACACAAGGACATTATGTGGTGCCTACAGGGAATGCAGGGCAGCTCAAAGAACTCTGTGTCTGCAGACAAGCCACTGAACTTCCTTGTGGTCTAGGAGTGCACTTGGACAAGCCTGAAACAAAACCTCAACCTATGCTTAAGTCAGAATGTGATTAATTTATTTCATTTCCATGCATAGCTTCATGCCTTGGCAGCAGCCACACCACAAAGAGAGACTGCTCTTGGTTGTAGCCAGGCTAGAGAAGCCATGACTAGCATTGGAAGGCTCACAAAAACATTTGATTTGTTATTAAATAGTCATCATTGTCATGTCCATTTGATGAAGCAGATGGCCTGTGCAGAAGGCACAGGCAGGACAAAGTGGTAATCAGAAAAGGCTCCCAGCTCCTGCTGAGGACAACTAAGGGCTTATAGCCCCTTTTCCCCCTGCAGTATGCAGCAACGTCTGCTGACAAAGAGCAGAGAGCCCTGAGCACTGTCCCAAACTCAGTTTTGGGCAGTCTGTAAAGACAACCCTGGCCAGCCAAAAACACAAGCCACGTACTACAGACAGGAGGGCAGAGGGTGAGCTAATTGAAGGGCATGACTGAGGGGAATCATTGCACAGAAACTTATGATTTTCTTACTTTTTATAAAGCGAGGTTTTGTCTTGCAATACGTTTACCTTTTCATTTAGTTTATATAAGAGATACAATAAAATTTGAGCTGATAACTCATCTTTAAGCTTCATTATAAATCCTTCCTTGAGCTCTTGGATGGGAAGTTTCTCACAGGTTGTTGGAACAGCCTCCTTGCTTCATGGTACAACTCCTTTCTGCCTGTGTTTTTACCAAGACTCCATGAGAAGGGGTCAACCCTTTTCCCCCCACAACCAAGAGTTTGAGATGGATCAGACACAGCATTTGGAAGAGTAATACCAAACTCAACACTTGACTAACTTGATGTGATGCTCCAAACCCACACTGTGGGTTCAGCAGGACATTTCTAAAATGCTTATATGATGAAATGACCAAAGGCATTCAAACATCAGCACTAACAGCTCAAAAACCACCACCTACATTTGGCAACAAAAAGAGAACTACAAAACTATACAAGGCAAGTATTTAGGATCAGCCTCAATAAAAACAACAGAATAAAACCCAGGTCACTGTTAGGTACCAGATCCCAGACACAGGAATTCTGCCCATCCACAGATGTAGGGTTAAGACACCATCTTGTTGTTTCCCTGGGGAGCCAGGCTGAGCTGCCAGCCCCATGCTCTTCCAGCTCCTCCAGCCTTCTGATTGCAGGCACCTCCTCCAACAAGTGCCCCCTCTCACCCTTTTTCTGTAACACAGAATTACTGCCCTGGCAGGGTTGAGTCAGCACCCAACTTCACTTAAAGGCAGGCACCAGAAGAAGCAGTATTCCTTCTCATTTTCCTCTGGTCTTCACCAATCTCGTTCCCTCTTCTAAACAGTGACCAAAAGCAAAACAAAAAGGCCAAACCACTTCTATAAAAAGCTTTGGAAACCACAGCAGAGGCTTTGAAGATCCAAAAGATAGAAGATGGTGCTTCCTCCCTCACTTCAGGGGGTAGGAAGAGATTGCAATGCCTGACTACAGCGAGCTGTATCCACACCTGCACCAGCCTGGCCTCCTGAACAAGGAGAGAGGACTTGGGGTAGATACGCCTAGCACTCAAACAACCAGGCACAAGCAGCATGCCCACAGCCAGCCATACCTTGGCTCACACGTGGTGCCACTGTCACAAGACAAGGAAAGGCCTCGCAGCAGGCCTGAACATCCATATCCCTAACTTCAACTTCACCTGGCTGATGGCCCACAGCTCTCCCATGGGAGCCCCATGCACAGCGAGACAAGACCCACAAAGAAATAATAAGGACATTAAGAGGTTCAATAAACTGCAACCTAACAACACGACTCCTCCTGATGACACACAGACTCTCATCAAGGCATGACCACATTACCGCCACTCTCATCCATGCCACTACTATCTGCACGTTATTCCTTCAGCAGGATGTCTAAATTCCAGGGAGGAGCCAGTGGCTCTATCATAGGCCACTCCAGGCAGGGCAAAAGAAACAGCTTCCACACCCCACCACAGTAACTGCTCTCTACAGAGAACAGCACTTCAGAGAAACTGAAACACAAACAAATCCCCTTCCACCACCCCAGGTGACCTCTCCTTACCTCTTTTCCAAGCAGCTCACAACAGAATCTACTGGTAACTCTTCCTCCAGCAAATCAACAGAAAACTCCTCCCTCACTTCAAAGAGTAACTGATTTCCTCTGCTTTAATTGCACTCATCTGCAGCACCTTCCACCTGGCCCTGCTACCACCTGCATCAAAGAGCTCACCTGGGCTTTGGGCTGCAAGGATCCTGATCTGTGAGTGGAGGAGAACTACTAAGAGATGACACCAGGAAACCTAATGCTCCTACTGGCCTGGGATCATGGAATCATAGTATGCCTTGTTTTGGAAGGGACTTCAAGGATCATGAAGTTCCAGCCCCATTGCCTCGGGTAGGACTAGACGTGACCTGGCTGCAAGGCCTGTCTTAAATCTTCTTAGCCTTAAAAGCATTGATTTGTCCAAATGCTCAGACAGTGCCTTGACAATACCCCTGGGAAGTCACCAATGTGAGCTCCAGTCCTGCTCTGTTGGGCTGCAGGAAAAGAAGAGGGGATAAAACCAGTAAAATTGCTCTAGGGCTCTGTTTTCACGTTAGCCCTCACCCTGTATTTTTCAGCAGTAATTCAGTTTTGGCTCTCAAAGTGGTTTGCACTGAAACAAACTGAAAAGGAAAGTTTTGTGCCCTCTCTATTATTTGCAAACATTAAGCAAAATTGCATCCAGCTGTTCCCAAGTAAATCCTGCTGCTCATCTACTGCCGCAGGACATGGCCAGCTGAATGTGTGTGCTTGTAGACAGCCAGGCTGACTGCAGCTTTGCTGAGGTCCTACTCTCCTGAGGAAGCCCAAGCATCTGCACACTTGTCCTTGAAGTATTCATTCCTTAAGTGTGAGTTTGGTTCTACATGTTCAAGTGTTGGAACAGGCTGCTCAAGGAGGTGGTAGATTCACAGTCCCTGTATGTTCAAGAAAAGAGTAGATGTGGCACTGAGTGACATGGTCTAGGGCAGAGGCATGGGTTACTGCTTGGACTAAAGGGTCTTAGTTGTCTTTTCAACCTTAAAGATTCTATGAAAAATATGCCCATGTTTGTGGTTCTGCCTGTCTGGACAGCCTTACTCTACTTTTTCTTTCAGCCAGGTAGGCTGGGAAAGGATTTTTGTTTTCCTGATTGTAAGCAAGAGAGTCTTATGCAAGAATACGAGTTAGGGGCCTGGAGCTTTAAAGAGAAAACATCATGTACTACAACACCCATGGTAAATGTGGTCAAAGCTGACAGTGTTAATAATGGAGCTGTATACAGCTCCAGGTGCTTCAACTGCCTTAACCTATGGGATCCCTCTGTTCACATCTGGCTGGAAAGAACACAAGCAAAGTTTGTTTTCAGAAAGGATGAGAATGGCAGCTGTGGGAGTCCACTGCTGTTGCCACAATAGTCAAAGAATTCAGGCCGTCTGTGAGCTGGTTGTGGCAGTGGGCCTGAGCGTTTTCTGTGGCCCACACCAAAGTGATTT